TAACCTACAGAGCTTGTCCTTGAGTGAGTTTGTAGGTTTAAATGCCACTCTAATTCCTGCTTTATTAAGAATCCTACATAGGCAGTGTTTCAGATGTCTCCTCCTTATATGGTATAACAGTAGAAGACTTATATTCTCTCTTATTTATGCTATCATTACTAGTTTCACAATTATTTTTATTTTGCTTTTGGCCTTTAGTGATCTTCCTAATGAATTTTATAGGATAGTTATTCAACACCAACGCTTCTTCTATCTGTTTTATTTCGTCATTTAGGTCTTTTTTGTACTACTTAGTGCCATTGCTCAGTTTGTTAAACACTTAACTAAGCCTGCCTTAACAGTTAACGGATGAGACGAATTGAAATCTAAATATCTATTAGCAGAATGCGTTGGTTTTCTATAAACACTAGTGTGGAGTTTACCTTCTTCTATTCGTTTTATTTTACAATCTAACATCACAGCTAATTCTCCTTGTTCATCTTCCGATTCAAATGTGAATTTTATTCCCTCTACTAGTGAGTTTATATGCGTCAAGAAGCTAGAGATATGTTCTGTTTTTAACACTGTGAAAGTGTCATCCACATATCTCCACTTTTTTCTTTTCGTTTCAAGCTCTTTCTCTAACGTGAACCATTGGAATAGACAATGAAAAGAAGACAAAATCCAATAGGGCAAAAATGTAAAGATTAATGGTACTAACAGCTGGTTTAAGATTGAATGCAGAAGGGTGATCCACCTAATTAGTTTGTAGTAAGTTGGTATATATTACTCATAACGAAGTAATTGATATCAATCGGTGTGAAAACCAATAAAATTATGACATGGTATTGGAATATAGTATTTCCCCGTTTGTGATCTTACGAATCATACTGAACTGGATGGCTTTGAAGACTCTCACCAACCAGGGTAGCTTTCATTTGCACAATCATCAAGAATGATTGTGAGCCATATCACCGATTGTCTCCAGCCACCATTGATTTTTGCCATCCCGAGGACCCCAGCCAGGAAGCTAGTCTACACCCTCCAAAGTGGTTGGTTTAAACTAACCAATCGGTCTTTTCTAACATAGATCGGGTTACGAAAGAGGTAGTGGTGGTCAAATGAAAATATGGCATCAATTTATGAAATCTTTAACAGTTAGTTTAAGCCGGCCAACCAGGCACGTAGGGAGAGGTGTAGACTGGTTGATTGACTGGTCGGGGTCCTCGGGATGGTAAAAACCCATGGTCGGTGGAGACAACTGGTGATGTAGATCAAAATCCTCCTTCTCGATAATGGCGTAGATGCATTCACTCTTTGTGATTTATCCTATCAATCCAATAGGACTCTATTGTTCTTCCATATTACTACTATTCTTTTTCCCTTACTCACACTTCTGTTTATTATCTCTCGGTTGATGAATGTCTCTTTACTCTCTTCTCTTTGTTTGTGTGCTACAATGGGTGGGGGGTGGAGTGCGGTAACTCGAACTTTTGTACATCTGTGCAAATTTCTATGTTGAAACCAGTCAGTCTGTCCCTAGAATCACGTATATGAAGGATAGTGATTTGATATTAGAGGTTTAGGGGTGATCAGTAGAAAGGTTTGGACCTAGATTTTGTGCATTCTGGGGTGGTACTCGTCAGCAAGGCATATCTCTGATCATGAAAGATTCAAAACCATGTCACCACCCAGTACTGTAGACAGGGAGACGTTATACTACCACTGAGCTATATATTCAAGGTCAAGATTGATCTCCTGTAGAACTATAATGGATACATTGATTATCGATGCAATGCGATATAAAATCTAGATTCAATCATATATATACATATTACGAGTTGATCACGGATTGACATCACAGTTAGAGAACCATTGAAAACCAGGGAGTACTGGACATCTGTTTCATCCTAGTTTATTTATTTATTTTTTATTTATTTTGATTACAGCTTGATACCACACCGTATTTTCAGTACAAGTATGGAATTTTCAGCATGGATATCGGTAGCCCGAATTTTGCAGGCCGACCATAGATATCGGGTGTGCGTCGGCAGGGGATCGAACCCTGGACCATGTGCATGGTCGGCGAGAGTCCTAATCACTGTGCCACCGACGCATCATCGGCAGTACGCACCCACACACCAGGGTTCGAACCCACCATCTTCTGGTTACAAGGCAAGCTAGCTCGTATACCATTCAGCCATTGGGACCCAACCCGATTCAATGGCCAGCCAGTGTATGAATTCTAACTTCTACCAATTCGTGATTTAAGCGCGACTGGCACCGTCGGTGGGACATCCATCCTCAACACGTGGCATCTGGATGGACTTCACTGCCGATCACTCCCAAAAAACTAGGATGGAACAGCTGGCTGTCCAGTACTCCCTGTCCCTGTGGCTGGTTTTCAATGGTTCTTTAACTGTGATATCAATCCGTGATCAACTCGTAAAAACATAACCTAACCCTTACAAACCAAACTATAGAAAAAAAATATATATATATATGTGTGAGCGCACACGGGAGTTGGAATAATATCAGTTACTGCTACAGAAAAAGTATAACAATTAAGCCATCCTAATTCACTAAAGTATACACAAATAGCATATTCACAATATAATAACAAATACTTAGAGTTCACATATAATATGAACGATTGATTGATTCGTTAATTGGTTTACCGAGAAGACGAATACGAAGAAAGAGAAGAAACAAGCTTTTTTAATAATAATAATAATAATAATTTGCTTTATTCCAAAACAGTACTTGTCATACAGAATGGAATTCTAAGCATTTCTACTACAGTATTGCATCCAGTTAGTACATTATCAATAAATAGAATTCTACATAGATTGAGGAAACCAACAGTTCATTATTACAACAATACATTGGCATGTCAGTAGCAAAGGTAAAGTTGAAACAGTGTTTGAAGGTGTTAGAAAAGTGGGAGCTGTCTTATTAACTGGCGTAAGCGAGAGAAAGAGACAAAGCAGCACATAACGGAAAAGAAGAAAAAAAGAGAGAAAAGGAAAAGAAAGAAAGAAAATGTTGTACCTATTGATGATATGAGTTGGAAAGACGAGATCCAGTTGCACTACTGACTATTTAATGAATTATAGGTGTCACGCCTAATGCTTCTTTATCACACAGAACACGAGCTAAGTAGGGTATGGTTGAGTTTTTGTACTTGCTGGTGCGAGCATATAGTTTTCTATATTGGCTTCTGGTTTTACCTGATGAGATGCAAGGGGAGAGTTGTGAGTGAAGAGGGTGGTGTGAGTTAGATAAAATGGATTTGGTCCATTTTTCACATGAGTCCATGTGCCTGTCAACCAGAATATTAACAAGCTGGTTAAGTGGCACGTTGCTTACCCTGCTGACAACCTTTAACATCCTGCGTAATAAGGTATCGTCTTTCTTCAGTAGCCCGGGAAAACTAAGGGGGAACAATAGAGAATAATAGGCAGGATGCGAGAATTAACGAATTGTAGGAGTAAGGGTTGGGTAATACCAGAATGTTTTAACTTCTTAATGTAGAAGGTTAGACGGAATATTTTTTTAGAAATTGCTAAGATATGAGACGACCAGGAGAGATCAGCAGATAGAATGACACCTAGGTATTTAATTTCCGATTTAGTTTCTATTTCAGTGCCGTCTATGTTGCATACCTCGTAAGAGCCAAACAGTTTGTTTAGGCCGGATTTATGCGTAAAGGTGAAATTGACCGTTTGGCATTTGGAGGGGTTTAGGGTAAGACCATTTTCCTTGGACCATTGGCTGATTTCTGAGAGAAAGCCATTAAGTTTAGAGCAGTCGCTTTTACATTTGATAGGCAAAGATACAGACAGATCATCAGCGTATTTGACAAAATTAATGTCATTTGAAGATGGTAAGTCATGTAGAAAGAAAGAAAAGAGCTTGTATTAATAATGATAATGACTTAAACAAACCTACCTAATATATATATATATATATATATATATATATATACGTGAAATAAGACATCAACTTTTAAAATTAACGAAAGCAGAAAAAAGAATAATAACTACAGAAAACGTAAACATCTCTCAGTAATAATGAAAACTAACAAAACAAAACGAGAAAACAACAACGACAACAACAAAACAACTATGAACAGACAAGTCGAATCTACAAATGTTATCATGATCATCATCATCATCATCAAGTCGATAAGTTTTTCATATTTAAATTTGTATTTGTTTTTAAAAATATACCTTTGCGTTCCCATGTGGAACACATAGGACTTCAAGCTAGAGTTTTGAAGTTTCTCCTTAACAGTGGTGGTGGTGGTGGTGCCTAACCTCCCCCACTCTTTACAGAGCGGGGCAGGGGATGGCTTACTACTATATCAGCTAAGCGAGGTGAGCCGGCGGCTGGGGGATCGAACCTCAAACCACTTGCTGCTTGCTTGACCACCACTGAACCTACCGACACGTACGCTAGCAGTAGCTATAATAATAATGGTAATAATAATTTGCTTTATTCCAAAACAGTACTTGTGATACAGAATGGAATTCTCAGCATTTTTTACTACAGTATTGCATCCAGTTAGTACATTATATATAAATAGAATTCTTCATAGATTGAGGAAACCAACAGTTCATTATGACAACAACGTATTGGCATGTCAGTAGCAAAGCCAAAGTTGAACAGTGTTTGAAGGTGTTAGAAAAGTAGATGCTGTCATATTTACTGGCGTAAGCGGAAGAAAGAAACAAAACAGCACATTACGGAAAAAAGAGAGAGAGAAAAGGAAAAGAAAGAAAGAAAGAAAATGTTGTACCTATAAATGATATGAGTTGGAAAGACGAGATCCAGTTGTTCTACTGGCTATTTAATGAATTATAGGTGTCACGCCTAATGCTTTCTTTATCGCACAGAACACGAGCTAAGTAGGGTATGGTTGAGTTTTTGTACTTGTTGGTGCGAGCATATAGAGAATATACAATTGAATAATTGAATGAAAATCAAATAATTAACTGATAATACACACACACACATACCTTATCACAAAATGGACATTTTAGCGTTGTTCGTGGGTGGACAGCGGTTCGACTTATACTGGTGGTCACTACTGGCTCATTACTTTTACTGTTGTTATTATTATTATTGTCATTGGAGGTATCAGACACTGACATATTCGTTGTTATAGTCTTTTTCATTGGATTAGTGGAATTCATTCTATTGTTGTTGTTGTTGCTGCTGTTACTGTTACTGTTAGAAAGGATAGCGTCGTCGTTATTGCTCCTGCTGGTATTGCTACCACCGACACTACTACTACTTAAACTGCAGGTGTTAGTAGTAGAGTTAGGAAGGTTAAGTGTAGTAATATTATTATTATTATTATGATTATTGATAATACCACCACCGCCGCCACCAGCACCAGGATTTAAAGATGATGAGCTTTCCATTCGATTATTTGTGCATAAATCCAAAAATGCTCGATCAGATTTGATAAATAATTCATCTGTTATTGCACCACTACTACTACTACTACTATTACTGCCTTTCAAGATTAAATTATTCGATGATTTTGTATAGGATGTTGTCATAGATTCGTTATTAGTAGCAGCAGCAGCAGCAGCAGTGATAATTGCCGTAGATGTTGAAGAAGAAGACAACGATGACGACGCCAATGAAGTAGTGGAAGAAGAGGAAAAAGTAGAAGAAGAAGAAGAAGAAAGCAGATGATGATGAGGATGATTAAGTCCACCACCACCAGCAGTAGCAGCATCAGATAACGATTGATTAGGTGAATCACAAAATGGATCAAAATGATATGGATTGTTAGTTGTCGATGGTGGTGGTGGTGAATCGTCAATTCGTCTCATCAATAATCTATTCACCGGGTTAACAATCTCTGTTGACGAAGAAAGACTTGATTTACGCATTATTTCAGATTTACATAAATCGCGTTTATTGTTGCTGTTGCTGTTGTTGTTGGATTGATGATTGGAGGAGCTAAGTGATACTTCATTGAAATTTGGTAGGAACATGATAATAAACTTGACTAGAAAGTACACACCAAAAAAACAAAAAACAACAACAACAACAAGAGAAAATCAGCCAGACAAAACACATCAATAGTCGTCTTTATAAGCATAAGATATATATATATATATATATAACATATTTGTAATAACTATTCAACAACACTCTCTATCTACATTTGATAATGAGTTAACATCTTTTGTCTAAGGATTCATGAAATTATTTTTGACTGGCGAAATCTCGGTAGATGGAGGCGGAGCACCTAGGCGCCCTCGAGTCAAAGCTATAAACTAGTAATCATTGGCAAGTGATTTCGATTGTTCTCTAACGATGTAAACACTTTTCTCCCTTTAAGATTCACTAATCGGAGCTTTTTTTGTTTTCCATTCTGCAATATAATCGAAGGTGACCACCACCTACCATCGGCTGAGATGATTAGGAAATGTGTTACGTATGCATGCCTAGTGATAGCCTTCCTCGACAGCGAGCAATCATAGCTGACTGACATAGGATCAGGTTGGTTGGTCAAACTAAAACATGGCGGCACCAATCAATGAAATCCACAACAGTTAGTTTAAGCCAGTCACGTGGGAAGGTGTAGACTTCCTGACTGGCTGGTTGGGGTTCTCGGGATGGTAAAAACCAATGATGGCTGGAGACAATCGGTGATATGGCTCAAAATCCTCGTTCTCGATGATGGCTCAGATGCATCCACTCCTTGTGACTTATGATTTCTAATGAAACTATATTGTTCTTCGATACTACTATTCCTTTTGTCTCATATCCCCGTTTATCACTTCTGCCCTGTGACACGGCAGCAGGAAGCGCGGTCGCTGTTAATCCGGGCCCCGACCTATCCGGCATGATATTTTGCGATTTATTTGGAGTCATAGGATTGGGTTGGGTAACTGCTTTTTGTCTAACCGCTATCCAAACAACCTTTCTGGCATGATAGGACCTACAGGAACATAAGTTCCAGCCAGTATAGCTTGTTGGGTCATTGCGGTATTCAAGCCCGATCACCACGTCAAGGTACCAGCTTTCCTGTTTACTGTTTCTATTTTGTATTTCATCTACTTTCTTCTCTTGCTTTGTGTGCTACAAGGAGGGAGTAAGGCGATTTGAACTTCTGCACATCGGTGCAAAGTTCTATGTCGAAAACATAAAGACAGATAGACAGAATAGGATTTAAAAACCTGGAGAAAAAAATCAAAATTACTTCGAACAAAAGCTGACTATGATGATTCAGTGTGTAGACCAATAGAGATAGTTAGTGTTTGAATGAAGCAGAAATGTCAAGTTCCATCTAAATAGTGGAGCTTCAGTTCATTGGGATAGGCATTGAACTTATAATCACTGGGTTATGGGGTTAGAAGCTGTCATTAGCGTTTTGGGCATCCAGAGAGTATCCTTAATCCTTATGTTATAGATGTGGTACATTGGCAACTACCTGGAAATGCTAGCGATTCTTTAGGATAACACTACTTACTTCCTAATTCACAGTATAACCTAAGTATAACTACATTGGTCAGCGACCTGCTTAAATCACTGAGCTATCGAAATCCTCTCTAGCGACTAAAAACGCATCGTATTTCCTCCAACCCACATTGTTTTAATCACTGATTTACGTCTACGAATCGCAATTTAGACTCGTAGACATTTTCAAATACTATTGTGAATTTTTCAGCGAAAAAGAAGAAAGAATATATTGTAGAGTAGTGGAGCATGCTTCGGATGGAACTGTGTTTCGCTTCCGATGATATATTATCGATGATTTAATTACTTGAAGCATATGCACAAGAATTCGATACCTTGCAACGAAACATCTTAAAAATTCGGTATTATGTGTAAATGCATTTTCAGAACAAAAGTATATATTACTATTGGATAGAAATAAATACTCAAGTTCAAAGAATACTTTTCAAGTATTGGTTTTGTAGGGAATTTCATTTGACTGGTTGTGAAGGATTTCACATCATGAGCTGACATTAGTTAGAGGACCAGTTCGAACCCCGATGAGTGCGTACTGCTGAAGAGTCCCAAGTACTGGACAACAGTTTCGCCCTAGATTGGGACTCTTCAGAAATACCCACCAACCCACGCACAGGACCTTCTGGTTACAAAGCCAACGAGCTCGTAGACCCTTCAGTAGCCACCGGGACCCGATCCAATGGCCAGCCAGTCCATGAATTCTAACTTCTGTCAATTCATGACATAGAGTAACCACTTTGCGACGTCTTCTTCGATGAATTACTACCTCACCTACAACCTGCTGTACCCTATTGGTCACGGCTTCTCACTAGAACCCCAGGTTAACTGACTGAAACCCGGTGGACGCGTGCTGATGAAGAGTGCCAAACCAGGACGAAACAGCTGTCCAGTATACTCCCAGGTCTTTCTATGGTTCTCTAACTGATGTCAGCTCATGATGAAATCGTCCAACCATTTATATCCAACTTCTTTGCTTTAATTCTCAGCATTTTCTGAACCCTTAGTTATATAATAAGATGATTTATTTGCAAAAAACTTCTATCACAGACTAATGTGAATGTGCTTTAACTTAAACAGCAATTCCGTACAATTTCAAGTATTTATTCACTTCATCGAAACATGTTGTCACAGAAATATATCGCTAAATGATCATAGGATAAGTCGAGATAGATATCTAATGCAGCCAATCCTCTTTTTATTAGTTTGAATACGAAGAGAACGAACATATTTGCAGGATAATACAAGAGCGTTCTATTTCCTGGATTGATTCTCTTCAACTGCCGCATACATGCTAAACAATATCAAAGTATAAGTTACAACATTTCTGAACATACTTTTATTACAATGACGTCGAGTTATGAATAGAAAGTATGAGCAACATAATTGCGAAAACGATGTTAACAGAGACAAAGTATTCAGTATTAAACGACTAACTACTTTTAGTACAGTTAGACAAGAGGTTGGTAGAGTTCTGATTTCGCTTGAAAACAAGGATGTAGATGTGGTGTGAATATTTTCATAAACGTTTAGCATTTATATTATACACTATTCACATCTTTCATTTTTGTTTAAACCAGATTCTATACTGGAATTATAAAACGAATAAAGCCTTTATTGCGGGCCCTCAATATTCTCACTTGATCGGTGAATGTTTGATTAACTCATAAACACTACAGTAGACTAGTGATGAAATTCGGGATCGGTCAACAAAGTGAATTTATGCATTTCATCGTGGAGAGTTCAGGAGGGTGAGAGTGAATAGTGAAGTAAAATCATAAAATAGATAAAATAATTTAATTTAGTAGATTTGAAAACTTAATAGTGAGTGCAACTCAGTGAGTGAAAATCAAAATCAAAGAAAAAATGATGGGACAATTGAACAATCTATCTACTGGAAAGGAACTTCGACTGACCAATACTTGAATTATCACAGTTTCCGCTCGATGGGCTACAAACGCAGCCTGGTGAAAACGCTCTTCACCAGAGATAGGGAAAATTGTGTTCAGAAGATAAGATCGAGGAGGACATTGCAGTCATCGATAAGAACCTTATCGAAAATGGATACCCTCGGAAGTTCACAAATCAAAATATGGGAAGGAAAAACAACCTAGAACCAAACCCCAAAATATTTGAAAAGAAATCAGTTTTTATCTGTCTAGCGTACAAAGGGGGAGGAGAAGAACGTCAAACAGAAATATAATGGTGCGTTTAAAAGAACATTTCCCACTGCCAGACTCATTTCCCTTTATAACACAGTATGCTTGTTAACCCAGACAAAAGTAGGTAAGCATCCTGCTTATGTCAACTCCAACTGCATTTACCAATGTATAGTAAGGACTGAGAGAAGAGCGTCTACCATATTCTTCGAGCATATCCCTAAAAGTCACTGTCTGAAAGGTAGTGTAATTGCCAGACACCTAATTGACACTGGACATACAGTGGAAATTAGTCAGGCTTTAAAAATAATCAGTGCAGAAAGAAAAGCATGGTTACTTCGGTTCGCAGAACCCATTACTATGAAAAGACTTCGACCCAACTTATGCATGCAGATGTCAAAGTTAGAGTCGGAAAGGCGAGATATACCTTCATCAACCTGAAACCAGATTGGAAATCGTCTGCGGTCCACAGCATGAAGAACAAGATTCGGATTCTATTCGACACACATGTGAAGTCAGTCAGTCAGTCAGTTCTTCTGTGCGGGTCAGGAACTTGGTTTAGGCGTCACGAAAAGAATTTCCAACAAGTTACAGACTTTTGTCAACAACTGGCGCCTTAACTGGCTCCATTCTGAAGATCAAATGGCTGGCTAGAAAGGATTAGCAACAAGAAACTCTGGCGACAAACCAACCAAGAGCCGATCACTCAACAAATATGTGGGAGAAAATGGAGATGGATAGGGCATACTTAGAGGAGACCGTCAAATGACATAGCGCAGAAGACCATTGCTTGAGTGGGTCGTCAGCGCGAGGAGGAGGAGATCGTGTGGTGAGGAGGAGATGAGAGATTTTAGTCAATCGTGAACCCAGCTGAAGAGGACAAAATGCAGATGTGTTGTTGAAGCCCTATGTTTCACTCGGAACCCCAAAGGGAATAATAAGAAGAACAATATGTATGCAAAAAGAGAATGCGAATAATCTCTCAGTATCCTGGTAACTGTAAATGTTTTGTTCGTGTGGTCTTGTGTTTTGTTCTGTTGCGTAACATTCTACTCAATCCTGGTTTTGATTTTCACTTACTGAGTTGAACTCACTATTAAGTTTCCGAATTTATTTAGAACATAATTTTACTTTCTTATTCACTCTTAGCCCGAATTTACCTGAACTCTCCACGATGAAATGCATAAATTCAC